ATGCTGTAACGACACAACATAGGGTCCTAGTCCTTAATGTGTGTATTATGAGTAAAATCCAAAAGCGTCGACAAGTAGTAGCACCAAGGATTAGGTGGTGGCGATTAAAAGGTGAGAAGCAAGATATTTTCAAGCGAAATCTTTTGGACAAAGGAATTTAGAAATCTCAAGGAAGTGCTAACATCATGTGGGAGGATATGGCTAAAAAGATACGGGAGGTTGCAAAAGTAGTTTTTGGAGAATCAAAAGGTTCTGGTCTGAGAGATAAGGAGTCTTAGTGGTGGAATAATAGTGTACAGGACAAAATCAAGTATAAGAAGAATTGTTCTAAAGCCATACATTTGTGTAATAATGAGGAAAATTGGGAGAGGTACCGTATGGCTAAGAAGGAAACTAAAAGAGATGTGGGTGAAGCTCGTTCTAAAGCTTTTGAACAATTTTATGAGACCCTTGAGATGAAGGAAGGAGAACGAAACATTTATAAGATTGCCAAGAGTAGGGAAAGAAAATCATGGGATCTAGAACAGCTAAGGTATATTAAGGATAAAGAGGGAAGAATTTTAGTTACAGATGATGAAATTACAAATAGATGGGAGACTTACTTTTCCAAACTTTTCAATGATGGAGAGGGTTCATCTAGTAACTTGGAGGATTTAGTAATTGGTGAAGGAGAACAAAATTTGTCATTCTATCGAATAATACGTGATAAGGACGTAAAGAAAGCTCTTAAGAAAATGGCAAATGGTAGAGCCAATGGACCTGATTGTATATCTATTAAAGCGTGGAAATGTTTAGGTGAAGAAGGGGTGAGATGGTTAACTAAGTTATTTAATGTGATTTTACGATCCAAGAAAATGCCTGATGAGTGGAGGAGAAGTACATTAATTCTTATTTATAAAAATGAAGGAGATATTCAAAATTATACTAACTATAGAGGGATTAAACTTATGAGCCACATAATAAAATTGTGGGAGAAAGTAATTGAGCACAGGTTGAGATTGGAGACAAGTATTTTTGAGAATCAGTTTGGTTTTATGCCAGGTAGATCAACTACAGAGGCTATTTATCTACTAAGGGGATTAATGGAAAAGTATCCTTGTAAAGATAAAGATTTACACATGGTTTTTATTGATTTGGAAAAAGCTTATGACTGTATACTAAGAGAAATGTTTTGGAAAGCGTTGGAAAAAAAGGGAGTGCGGATTGCTTATATTAAAGCCATACAAGATAAGTATGAGGGGGTAAAAACTAGTATAAAAATGCCTAGTGGTCAAACAAAGGATTTTCCTATAAAGATTGGACTACATCAGGGATCATCTTTGAGTCCTTATCTGTTCAACTTGATCCTAAAAGTTTTGACGGAACATATTCTAGGGGAAATTCCCAAATGTATGCTCTTCACGAATGATATATTTCTTATAGCAGAGACAAGAGAAAAGGTTAATTGCAAACTTGAGTTATGGAGGAGGACATTAGAGTCGAAAGGTTTTTGTTTGAGTAGGAGTAAGACGGAATATTTATATTATAAATTTGGTAAGAGACTATTCGACAATAATTTAGAAGTGAAATTGAAAGATTAAATTATACCTCAAGTGAAAAAGTTTAGATATTTAGGAGCTATTATTCAAAATGATGGCGAAATCAGTGGAGATATTTCACATAGGATTCAAGTTGGGTGGTTTAATTGGAGAAAAGTTAAAGGAGTTATTTGCAATCATAAGGTGCCTAATAAACTTAAAGGAAAGTTTTATCGCACTGCTATCAGACCAGCAATGTTATATTGTAGTGAATGCTGAGCTTTAACGGGACAGCAAGAGCATAAAGTTGGAGTAGCAGAGATGAGAATGTTACGATGGATGTGCGGACATACACATAAAGATAAAATTCAAAATGAGCACGTAAGCGAAAAAGTGAGGGTAGCACCTATTGAGAAAAAAATGGTAGAAAATCGGTTGAGATGGTTTGGGCATGTACAAAGAAGACCAAAGGAGGCACCAGTGAGAAGAGTAGAACATATAACCTTGAGTCCAATTAAGAGGGGTAGAGGAAGGCCTAAGAAAACACTCTTGGAAGTTGTTGAACGCAATCTCTTAATTAATAATATTTCTAAAAGATTGATAAATGATAGAGCACAATGGTGTCTTACAATCCATGTAGCCGATCCCACCTAGTGGGATAAAGGCTTGTTGTTGTTGTTGTATAATAAGTTGCTGGCTACTATTTCTTTTTTTAGATAACATGTGCTCCTTGCTTTTGTCTTATTTATTACATTATGGAGTGTATATAATATATCATAATTTAAATGCTAGTTTAATTCATTAACTTCTTGCTCTTTTCTTACAATAAAAAAGTTCGTATGAGTTGGATTTCTTTTTTTTTTTCTTTTGGGTGAATCATATGAGTTGGATTTCTAATTTTTATTGATGTTGAGGCAAATTTTACGACTTAAAACTTATTTAAAAATACTTATAAATTATTCTCTAACGAAATCTTTACATTGATAGCCAAATTCTAATCAAAGCTTTTGTGAAGTATGAGCATAACAAAAGCTTCTTCTATTTGTTTTGATATATTACACACACACACACACACAGAGAGAGAGAGAGATAGAGAGAGATATATATATATATATATGTATGTATTTAGAATCTTTATATATTAATTAATTAATATAGTCCTGCAAATTGAATGTCCAAGTGTATACATCCATTGAGTAGCTACGCTCCCTCAAATAAGTGTCTCATGTGGCATGATAATAGTAGTTTGATTTAATTGAAAGGCTATCAAAGATTGTTATATAATACTCAGAAATTATGAAATTTTAAATTTTTGGAAGAGACAACATAAGTAAAGAGTATTCTAATCATAATGATTGTTTAAAATATTTGGAGGGAAATATATTTTAATAATTTTAGAGTATTGATAAAATTTAATTACTATAATTAAGACATTCGTTGAATACATGTACTTACTACTTAGGCCACTCACCGAATTCAAACCCTATGGCTTAGTAGTGTTGATTTTGAAATAACTAGCTTACTAATATAGTGGCTAACACTAGACGTCAACACATGATGCCCCACTAGCTAATGCATTATGAATGAATCCATAACTTTGATTGCACCAAAATTTTTATCTTTGACAAATAAAATATAATATAATTTTGCACGAAGAAATCAACATGAGGCCCCACTAGCTAATCCAGTCTGATTCAATCCATAGTTTTGATTGCATCAAAACTTTTATCATTGAAATGTAAAATAAAATTTTGCACAAAATTGTAATTTTTTTCATTATTAGTCACTAAACATTTTTATCATAAACAGAAAACATTAACCGATTTAAAAATTCACGAATTTCATACCCAAGTTAGATAATTAAACTATTCCGACTGCAATTGAATTTGGATCACTGAAAAGGTGGGAATAATAAAATTACTTAAAGTGATAAACACAAATTGTTGCTCTAACGACATCATACAAACTATATAGAATTCAATTCAACTCATTTAATTGGATAAAGCTTCTTATTATTTTTTTTATAGATATAAATTACTGAACCTTACTTCTAAATATGGGACCCATTATATCATATTGAACACTTTAATTTCCTCTGACTGCTCTACATGGTTTGGAATGAAGAAACTGGATTACCATATATGTTTAAGTTTGAAATTAAACTTAGCCAAAATTCAATCCTATACGGACGCCGTGTGCACATAAATTTACCTAAGTCACAATCTCATCATGTATTTTCAACTTTCCGGCAAACATTTTTCTGACCAAAACCACACAAAGACTGCCTCAAATCAAATTATTGCCCCTGTGCCAATATATAAAAGGTTTTTAACCAGATCTTGCATATCAATAAAAATTTATTATTTAAACAACAAACAATTTTCCCATTTTATCCCTTAATAATTTCACAATATCATGGTAATGGGTAATAAAGTATACAATTAATATCTCTCCCTATTTTCAAGACATTGATAAAATTGTTTAATTTTTTAAAAAATATCATGACCATTCCCTTATATTTAGAGACAAAATAAGCTTCTAACAAACATTTGTTATATAGAGAACGAAGGAGTTAGATGTTCCACAATACTCCTTGGCTTTGTTAATGTAAGAAAATTTAAACTAGTTGTCCAATTTAAGAAAGTTTGTTAAATTAGATATGTCTAAATTTTTTTTAAAAAAAATTGAACTAAATATAATAGTTATGTCTTATGAAAATAAACTTTGATTTTATGTATAAGGCAATTTGAGACAAATTAATGTAATAAATTCCTCTTGAATTTTGTAGTTTGATTACCTTCAGTATCCTAAAATATAAGATACTTATAGAAGATTAAAGTTTTATTAAATAAAATTATCCCAATATTACCCTCTTTCTCTCATCGATATATTAAATGAAGTGTATTATAAAATTTTATATTTTTATTTTAAAAAATAAAATTGTTAAATGTATTTATTATTATATGAGATTTTATTCAAAAGTACCTCATAATTTGAGGCAGAGAAAAGTATAATAGTTATGTCTAAAATTAAAAAATTAAAGTAAATTATCACTGCAATTAATGAAATAAGTTTATCTTATGAAAATAAACTTTAATTTTATGACACAAATTTTGAAAAAATAAATGTAATATATATCTCTTGAATTTTGTAGTTTTGATTATAAAAAAAAAAATAGAAGAGTTTATCTCATAATAAATATCGGAAGGAGTATAGCCACCACGCAAGTCAACAAGCGACAAAACCCCATGATCTTGACATTGAGAGTTTTCCCACATTATGTCACTGACATAAACACAAGTTTTCGAGAAGCAGCCCCTCTTTTGTCCACAAGTCTCTCTTCTCGTCTCCATCAGAAGAATAGTCAAAAGGTCGAACATTTTACTCTGACCAACACAAAAATCCCACACTTCACGTATTGCTATAAGAACATGACTTCCAGTCTTCCCTCTTTTCAAACCTGTATGTTTCATCAAAGTCCTTTTGTCCTCCATTATCGGTCAAACCTTCCTTGCCAGTTACCAAAACCTTCATACTATGACCGCAACTACCGACCAGTGGATGATGCAGTTCTATCACCAAAGCCCCGATGATGATACTAATAATCTTCTTCAGGTTTCGGCCATGGTAGGATTGATCTCTGATGCTAACACCGTCGCAATGAGGACATCGAAAACCTCACCGTCTAGCCCTAGTTCCACAAGCCCAAAGGACGTTAACAATGGTTCCAGACCGATACGAGGAAGGTCTAGTGCTTCAAAGAGAACCCCAATCACACTACTCAACGCCAACACGACCAACTTTAGGGAACTGGTACAGCAGGTCACAGGGTGCCCTAGTAGTACGGCCATGTCGTTTGAGGTCTACAAGGGACCTATCACCTTAAATTTCCAACAAGGAAGACGACAAGTCGTTCATCATAACACATCAAGGAAGGTCACGACGACGGCGCCGTTTGGAAACACAGGTTTCAGTACTGATGTTCAACATCATCATCTTCAGTATCAGCAGCAGCAGCAGCTAGCAGATCAGCAACAATGGAGGCTGCAGCAAGACCAGCAGCAGCAGCAGCAAAGTGATGATGATAATTTATTTGAGTACAACAGCAGTACTGACTTGTTTTCGCGTTCAATTAACTCGTTGAAGCCTAGCATGGAGATATCTCATGGGTTGATCGTGGATCATAACTATAGTTTGCATGAGTACATGACCATGAATAATGATTTCTTCTCCAATAATAATGTTATTCAGAATGGTAGTTATTTAATGTGATGCGGCAAGTTAATTAGGTCTTTTGTAAGATTTCCGAATAATTATGTAGATCTGTCTCCTCTTCGTTTATGTGAGAATAATCAAGATAGATAGGCCGCCATGTCATTACCAAGGAAAAACTCATCAAGATGCACCTGTTCAGTTTGTTTTTCCGATTCAATTTCTTTCTTTGGTTCTATTAATTAGTGGAAGTCATTATCATTATTTTTAGAGTAAAATACATTCCCCTCCGATCCCCTCTGTTTTACCTAATTAATTACAAATCTTTCATAAAATCAATAATCTCAAAATACAAATATCCAATTTCATTTTTATCTACCCAACGATTAGTTGACTATTAAATTACATTTGTTAGACCAAAATATCTCTCTTTAAACATAATTGTTATCTAAATATCATTTACAATTATTTTATTTTTAGTTACGTAAATTTATTTATAATTCAAATCTTATTTTATTTTTTATTTGCATTCATATTGTAATTTTAGTAATGTAAAATTTTTTATTTATTAATTACTTAAAAAATAAATAGATAAGTTTGTTGAAATAACTTTTCAAGCATTGATTCATGTCAATATTTTAAAATCAGACCAAACATTCAACCGAACAAGGGACTAATTTAAGGGTTAAGGGTTCGATCATTTAAAAAATAAATAGATAAGTTGGCTAAAATAAATTTTCAAGCATTCATATCAACGTTTTGAAATCAGACCATATATTCATCCAAACAAGGGACTGGTTTAAAGGTTAAACCATGATCGAACCTGTTATAGTTAATTTATTATATTTTAAATTTTATATATATATATATATATATATTTGTGTCTATGTGAATAAACAATAAGATAAATTCAGCTACAATCATAAAAATTAATATTTAAATAAAAATATTCATATAAAGATAAGAAAATTATAAGTTGTTTATAATTCTTTTTCTTTAAAATTAATATTTATATAAAAATATTCATCTTCCTGTTTTTTTATAAGCAGAAATAGTATTTAATAATATTAATATGAATCCATTAATAGATGATTTTATCTCCCTCTCATTCCAAATTAGTAAAGGTTTTAAAAATTGAATTGGTAATTAAATTGGACAAGGCATTGGTTTAAAAATTAATACTCTAACAGTGATTGAACTATGGTCCAATTAGTGATTATTTATTTAATATTTTCAAATAATTTATTTCTACAAAAATCATAAAATAAATTCATTAATAACTAGTAAAAATAATTTTTAAATAAAAATAATTATCTAAAGATTAAAAAAATTATAGTATTATTCAACAATTTTCTTTTAATTTTATTATAATTATTAGAGTAATATTTTGGTATAGTTTATTTTATTCCCTCCATTTTCTATAAGCATAAATAATATTAATTAATAAGATTCTTTTCGTTACAAAAAGATGAATGTGAAATTTTATCCAAAATTTGAAAGTTTTGCACTGCCATTTCGTCTTTTCCGCTTGCCGACTAATGCTCATTTTTTTAATGTATTATTATTATAATATAATATTATTAACCAGATGCTTGCATGGGGAGAGAGGAGCAAGACCCATTCCAACATCCCCTTTCCCCTTGTGGTTTGCACAATCGGACCAGACCAATTGGTTTGACAAGTGAACCGGCAGACCAACCTTTTATCTTATCTGGTTTACTATTTTTTGGGGCCAACAATTGTAACATCCTAAAACTTCAGATCTGGAAAAATAGATTAATTAAGAGATAAATTAGTTAAAAATATAATTAATTTATTTAATTTGTTTTTGGATGGCTAATTGGATTTTTGGGTCTCATTTGGCTCTAAATTGAGATAGGATGAAAGTCGAATCAAGTTGTTGCTCGCTGCACCGTGAGCCGCGGCTTGCAACGCACGCCACAACAGGCAACTTAAATTTTCAGGAATCATCAAAAATGGTCAATTTTGGGGTGGAAAACCTAGAGCACAAAGGAGACAACTTTGAGCACTGCTAGAGCATCAATTTGGAAGGATTTTGAAGATCATTTGAGCCTTCAAACTCTTGGGTAAGTTTTCTACCCTTCTCCTCTATCTTTTCATCTCATTTTCCATGGGATTTGAAAGAGTGAGAATTTGGTCTGATGGGATTAAGCCATGAGTCAATGTTTTAAAAGTTTCCATTGACTCTAAAGGTTTAATTTAGGTTTATTGATTTTGGATATGTGGTAATATGAAGCTACTTTGTTGTTTTAATGGGAGTTAGATCAAGCTTTATCTTGATCATAGGGTGTTAAAGTGTGATAAGTTGAGATATTGAGTTTTATGTTGTGATAGAGTTAGAAGGAGGCTTGAAGGGATGAAGTGAAAAAATTCTAATCTTGACAAATTTATTTGTTGAGAATTTGAGTGAGAAGTGGGAGAATTGGGAGGTTATTATTAGCTAATGGTGCTTGTGTTAACTAAAAATTAACATATAGTACTTGTTGATGTAGATTGTTGTGTGGGAAGACTTACCTTGACACAAGAAAAAATTTAGTACTACAGGTAACCCTTTTAGTAACAAAAGGGTTGAGGTAAGTAGATAATTTGAATTGTTTATTACCTTGTATAAGTTATTCTCAAGATGCTTTTCTATGAGTTGTTGAATATATATGCATAAATTCTTTACAGGTTAACTATTTTAGAAAAAGTGGAGTATTGGTCTGAAAAATTCTATATTTTTGAAGTAAATGGAAAGATTTTGTTATACTTGTTTAAAAAGTTGTTTATGCATGGTCAAGTGGAGATATGTAGTGAAATGTGGCATATTAGAGGGTAGGAGGTCACCCTAGTGGAGATAGTGAAGATTAAGTTCATATGGCATTGCTAGCACCTTGGGAAACCAGGTACAACATTTACTCTCCTTAGTACCCGAAATGGGTGTGGTGTTGGAGACTTACTCTCCTTAGTACCTAAAAGAGTGCGGAGTTGGAGACTATGCTCCTTAGCATCCGTAGTATGTGGTGTTAGAGTAACAACACCCTAATTACTTGTAATAGGGGGAAACAGTAGTCTAGAAGTAGTTTAGGACACCTTGGCCAGGTAGTCCTACCATGGATAGTGAGCTTGGGGACCATACATATGGTTTAGTTCTGTGAAATAGCCTACTGGTTCGGTCGAGAGTATTGGAGGACCGGATGGTTAGGGATCATGCATGCAAATTTGTGGTGATATTATATGATGTGATTGTGTTACTTATTTTAATGCTTGTTTATAACTTGGCTTGTTAATCAATAATGTAGATTATCTTAGTTACTGAGATTTTTATCTCACCCCGTGGATTATCATTTTATAGGTGCTACCAGTGAGACTGAGCCAGGGAGGGAATCAGGCAGGGGTTAGCATATCTACTACACTCTTTGTAAAGCTCGATTTTGGTTTGAGTGGTGTACATAAACTTGTTATATGATATTATATGTTGCCAACTAGGAATGCATATCATTTTGACTGGTTGCACTTGTTTCATACTATGTTGTTTTATATTTTAGCCCAATATGGTATGTGATGTGAATAAGTGAAAATTTTTGTGGTGATGGGCTAAAATACTAATACAAGTGCAAGGAATGTTTTATCTAAGTGTGATAATGTATTGGTAGTATATTATGTGGCAATAGAGGCCAAATAATGCTTGTAGTGCTAATTGTGCATTTTGGCCATATTGGGCAAAATGCCCATTGAGTGGCCAAATTTTGTGTTTCATATGTTTTTGTGTGTTTGATTGGTCACTCAAGTGTATTTTGGTCCATTGGACTTGGTTCAAGCCTCACAATGGGTTAATGGTATTAGTTATGAGTTTTGGGTACTTAGATGGTTGAAAATTTCTTTAAAAAATTGACTTTTGCATCTGAGTATCTAAAATTCTCATATGTTGTTGGATCGTAATGAAACCTATATCATTAGTTAGCTTATTGAATAAGCTTCGCGTGGACACTTAAATCACTCCAATCGGACATCGAATGTGAAAATGGTGCGCGTTCGAAGTTCGTCAGGAAAAGCTATCATAACAGCATTGCTATCATGGACAAGTGCGACACAGCGCATTTTGCGCAAGTTGTGATGCACAGTATAGCAAGAAAAAAAATGGCATTCTGTGCCACAAGCTGCAGTGCACGGACCACGAGCCGCGGCACACGGACCAAAATACTCAAAAATGACATTTTGGGCCTTGTTTTGAAGTGGTTTACTTTCCAAAACTTTTCCATGCCTCCAATGCCTATATAAATCATTAAGTTTGAGCTCAAACTATCAATTTAAAGGGTTTTTATGGGATCCCAAATATTCCTCAATTATTTTTAAAAGATTATTAGTTTTAACCCTTTTATATATAATGTGAGATTAGGAGCAAATCCTTGCTCTTAATTATGATTGGTTGTTGTGATTGTGTGGTGAATTTTGGTAATGTCAAGGTGGACATTACAACAATCAACTCAAGTTGACTCAAGTGACCCGAGAAAAACTTGAATCAACTCACTCAGCCCCAAGGGTTAGGTGAGTTGAGAGAGCTGATATTTGTTTCCTCGCACCTTAAAAAATGCTGACAAAATAAAAAGGAAGAAGAAGAAAAATCAAATATCAAGCATCAACATGGCATAATTATGATTACGATTTCCATTCTTCCTCTTTTGAATCAGATCTATGCATGTTCTCTATGATGTCTATCTTAACATTATCAAAACATATCATACATATCACACCATCATTATCAAGGATTTAATTAATCCCAATGACTTATCACAATAGAAAAAGGGTTGAATAAAATAATTTAAAATTATTGAAAGTCAAGATCCCATTAAAAGCCCTTTTTTAAAACATTGGTTAAATTCAATGTGCTTTTAAAATCAGAGTTTAACACTTTTAGGATAGGCATAAAGACTAAAAAAATAACGTATTACAAAGAAATGGGGCACAATAGTAATTTATTCAAAAAAGGGGCCATGTGTTATGACTAAAGTGTAATGCTCGCCTTGATGTTACCAAAACAATACACTAACACATTGTTGTGATAAGCAGGATTAATTTAAATTCTAAATAAAAGTTATCACAACCCAAGAGTTTAAAAGTAATTACTTTAAAACGTTGGGATCCTAAGAAAACTCCTTTTTCAAAAGTTGTTTGAGCTCAAACTATGATTTAAAATAAATCAAATAAGATAATGGAAGCATGGGAAGCAAATAGCAC